ATTGAGCATGCGCTAAGTACAAGATTTAAAAATTTAAGACATAGGAATTTATGATCCAATAGTTTGTCCATGTACCTACTGTAAGGAGAATTCAGATGATACATCTATATTATATACTATAGATATAGGGTGCTAAACAGACCTTAACGTGATCTGCTCAGAGTACAATTTGCTATGTTACGCATTTGTAAGACGGAGACAACACATGCTGGTATGACGTCTTCTTAACCCCAGAATTCACTTATCTGTGCGGTTGCCGTGCCACCCTATTCCGAGGACAATTGGGAGTTTACTGTATGATCCTGGATAAACATATATGATATATCACAGTTAGTCGTTTTTTTTTCCAATTCGTCGCTAAGAGAACACACAAATTGTGTAGGTATTGAAATATTCGGGAAAATACTTAAAAACTTGTACGGTCCGATGGCGTCGTCGTTCGAAAGATGTGTTGAAACTAAACTAGCTCTCCAAAAGCTAAACCCTCTGAAGTTAATTGCAGCAGGAGGTGTGAGTGCTGGAGAGTTAGATTAGGGGCCCCCATATCTCTTTTCACATTTCTTGTCCAGTAAGTTTTCGAACATAATTTTACATAACATTTTTTTATTTTTTTGCTATCGATTAGTACTATCTTAAAACGTGTTTATTGGCAAGGCTGATAAATACTGGGAACGCGGTAGACACCTGTCGTACTGATGGTCCCGATTTAAGATAGTATTATCTTAAATCGTGCTGATGGTTAGGCAGGTTTCCTAACCTAACCTAACGGGTTTCTCCCCACTTGGAATCTCGGATACTATTATCAGATTGTATGTATTTTCCCAATATTTCGTATAAGTTTTGCTTTGGTTGAAGTGTATTTTAATGTATTTGATAATATCAGTAAAAATTGAACTGACCAGGGTAAACGGTTAGGTATACCAGCGTATAAAGTGCCAATAAAAAAATTAGTTTATTAGAAAAAGTGAAATAACCAATATAAAACTATATCTATAGATCCCGAATCATAAGGTAAAAATTGTTTTCACTAGAGCGCGTTTTGTTAATCTGTTTCGCTAATTGTACTATTACGTCTTACGTGGTATATGGTAACTCTTAATACGTTGTCTATCTCTGCGGGTACGACACTACAATGCACGAACTGAGATATATCTTTGTTCGTGCTACGATGTATCAGTCATGATAATCTTATAGTGTACTTTGCCGATGACCTACACGGAGGATGGATCTTCTAAGACCGTCACATGGAGCAAGCGGTGAAAAACGAGGCTAGTCCTGTACCAGTGCCGGATAGGGTAAGTATACCATCCCACCGAGTTTTAGAACTTTTACTAGCCTAAAGCCCATTGAATTGGATTAGAACGAGTAATTTGAATACAAAATCTACCGAAATATAATCAGGCCCACCGAGTTAAACTCAGTGACTCGCTTTTTCTACACCCGGGTCTGTTCGGCACACGTATATTATAATTTATATTAGCAGGCTGAAGGATTATTATAACCTACATACATTTAGTTAATTAATTATGAAAATACACGATAGTGTTGAGAGGCCGTTCCGGTAACCAAATTTGACCGTAAAAACATGCTTTCGTACTTCCCATTTTTCTCAGACCTCGTTATTGGTAAAAACGTGATTTTTGCACCAAAATAAGCTCGCAAAGTTCTCCTATCTAGTTTTTCAAACATATTATATTTACATTTTCAATTTTCAATTTTTAAAAAATTATATAAAATATACAGTAAAAGATATCAAAAATCGGGCACTTAATTTTCTAGAAGAACTTCTCTGATTGATTTTGTTTAAAAAAATCATGTTTCTACGACTAACGAAAGGTGAGGGAATTGGGAAGTACGAAAACATATTCAAGAAGAAAAATTACATAGTTACAGCCGTCATGTGCTGCTCTGCTGATTATAGCGGCAGAGTTTCATAACATAGCTCATACCACTACCCCGCGCTCGACTGCAACCGACCGAACCATAGGTTAAAACCCGTTTTCATGTCTCGGCCGGCCGTTTATAAAATATGGTCGGTAGGAAAACCTAACTATATTATGTTGATGACAGATGATAATATTACTATGTCTTACTATTTTCATAACACCCTTATGGAATTTAATATTTTGTATTTTCGTATACTATTATTCCGCTCGCCGTAATTATTTACATAAATGAAAAATCTCATCAAAAAATTGTGATAAATCGTTTAAAAAACTAAAATTTGAAAAAAAAATTCTTAACTTGTAGAAAATTTGACAGTAAAATTTTTTTTTTTCATTGACTAACCATATAATAATATTACAAAAATTAAATCTTTGTTTAACAAAAACCCTTAGGTGCAGTGCATATGAATAAAAAAAAATCTGTTGAATAAAGTGAACAGCGTCCTCAATATAGGTAGAACTCAATTCAATAACTTTCAAAATTCTAACTTTAGAAGCTCATACAAAATTATGTAGAATAGTACGCTCAACATTTTTTTAAATTGCCATTTACAACAACTTATGAGGAATCTTATATCAAATTGTCAAATTTTTTGACCTAGGGAAATTTTATCAACATTAATTATAAAAAACCAATAAAATTTGAAATGTTTGCGATGCTCATAAATAGCTCAAAACGAGGTGAAGTATTTTATAAAAATTTAATGGAGTGCAGAAAATAACGTGAATAATGATAATATTATAGCTGGTAGACGAAAAAAATCTAACCGAAAAAACTCCAAAACAAATAATAATAATAACTAATGACCTAGACTAGCTGATGCTGCTGATATTACTAAGAAAAATAAAATAGTAGGTCCCATTGGTTTGTACCCGTTACGGGCAAAGTATACAATTTGGGCATTGTATACAATGTCTGGACAGTATATAAAATGGCCTTTGTATATTGGGAAATATAGATAACGGATGATATATGATTTAATGAATAATAACATATATTTATATTATTGGGAAATAAAATAAGTTTTTTAATCTTATTATCACTTACTAACAAATTAATAAATATGTAAAAAAAAAATTATCACTTATTTTCGAGTGTCCTGCTTCAGTGACATTTTAATGTACATAGGTGCTCCACGCTGCTTTACATTTATACTTCTGTGTTTAACATTTCTTTACACAAGTACATCGGAATATCAATTAGGTCTATCTGACAGCGAGAATTTATCCCGGAAGATATTTTGGTTGCACCACCAATCCTTTCTTAGTTTCTTAGCTATGCTTCCTTTTTTTTATACGATTCGCAAGTTCGCAACTATTTAAGTATAGCATAATCATATTTCTAATGATATTTTTGTATTTTTTATTTACCTCGTGTTCCATTCTTTTTCGACCACCATATTCAATCAATAAATGAACACCTTGTATAACATCAAATAATTCTTCATTATGTACATAATATTTAATTTGGCTATTTTCAGATATTGCTGATACTGGTACAAATGTACAATTCACTTATTAACATTAGAAACTTTTAACTCGTCATATATTTTTTTTAAATTTATAATCATTCTGTTCCTTTTTTTAAAATTATTCTTTAATTGATTTACGTGTGAAATAAATTGATCATATTTTAACATAATAAAAAATAAAGTATTTAACCTCTTTTTTAACAAATTATTTAAACCTTCATTAGAATTTTCCATATTCGAATAAGTAGGTACGCAACTAAATCAATTAATCTGCCCTATGCAATCAATTATGGTTACTTACTACAAATAGATAATTTTTCGAGAATAAGTAAAAGGCCGACTGTGGCATTGCACGATAAGCACTACAACTACATATAATGTAACTTATAAATTATAATATATTATATCACATATAATATGTGGACTGCTCCATTGTAAAAATGCCTTTAATAGGACGTTATACCCACATGTATTGTCTCCGCTTAGCAAGAGCATAACATATCAAATTTTAAGTTAAGTAGATCACGCTTAGCTCTGTTAGCTTAAAAATTGGAGTGAATTGACCTCTTGTTAAAACTAAATTTAAGTTCAGTACGGATAGATTATTAAGTAGTATTTTTTTTCCATGGATGATGCGATTACATCGACAAATCGGTGTATTTGGGGTATGGAAGAATGTTTATATTCGAAACAAAATTGTGTATTGGGAATAATAATATTTTGTATTAGAATAGGGTAGGTTCTTTATCTTTTTAGAATGATTTTTTCTAATATTGTAGATAGTTAACAAAAATAATATCTGTGTAATTTTATTTTTTATCAGCTACATTTTTAAATTTCTATTTCTATAGGCTAGAGCAGAATATTTTTAAAAACACAAATATAATAATTTGAACCAATACAGTTTATTGCTTATGCATTAGAATCATTAGCATTAATAAGTAGGCAAATATCACATTCGTTTTTGAGTTTAAAAAAATTGATTTTTTATGACATTAGATTTCTATGGTGATACAAACATGTCCCACTTTCAAATGAGTATTATATATAAGTACCGTAGTTCCAGTGTTTGGGAGGAACGAATTCCTTTTTACAGAAAAAGAACCAGAAAATGAACAAGTTCTTTATTTTCAAGGAAAAATAACGAAATATAATATTGATTTATAGATACTGTTTAAAAAATAATAAATATAGATGAATAAAAGAAAAAAATTATATTCAACATTATAATCTTAAATTAAATAGTAAATTATAAGTGTACTACTGGTATAGTGGTATGTGTAACTATAATTAAAAAGTTAAGTACCCAAGTATAAATATGAAAAAAGAACATTGATGATCAAATAAGATTTTTTTTTCAATTGGAACTGAAAAAAGAACACGTTCATTTTCCAATGCAACGACAAAAGAAAGAATTATTTTTATTAAGGAACGAGGAACGGAACGAATTCCTTTTTATAAGGAACTTGCCACACTAGTTCTCGGAATATTATACTATACTGTCCGTATAGAGTACTATAAATAATTTATCTCATTCAATTTATATTTCCGCCTTCTTGGACATTTCTATAATAATATCAAGTATTTAAGTCCCGGCGTGACGTACCCACACACGTACGGACATTAGAGAACAAAGATCGACTCTTCGTAGTAACATACCTACCTAACATATAGCAGGACGTAATAACAGTCTTGACCTTTGTATAGGTGGGGTACTTTTTTGTGCCTAAATTCCAATAAGCCGCTAGAATGTTTTTTTCGTCAGTTACCACTGTTTAGTGTACAAGTATACTAGGCAATAACACATGAATGTGGCAAACGGGATTATGTCGATTTCTCTACATTAAATATTATATCACAGAACAACGCGTGAAATCGTATTTCGATACTTGAATATTTATGTGTGATGTACCCATGAGTGTAAATGTTGTTTCGAATTGTTTATATTAATATTTTTGGTACATCATAATACAACAACAGATTAATAATCATTTACTAACTACGGTGGTTACCAACGCCGTTCACCGCACTGACAACTGAAATAGTGAATACTGATCCGTGATCGTCGCCATAGACAGGTACCTATATACTGTATAATACTATAGTTGGCAAGTGGTGGAGGGAGCGAAAGCGACTGATTAAGTGATAACGTAAATATTAAATAACAACAAGTATTAAGATAGTATTACAACCAATAATAACAACAACAACAACAACAACAACGACAGCTATACAGATCACTGACAAGCAGTGTCCAGACTCCAGACACTGTCCATCGGTATTCAGTAGACCACAGTGACTTTATAGCTGCGCCCGCAGGTAACACACGTCAATAGTGCACAAAAAATAATTAAATATTATCCAATACGGACGTCACATGTGACACTGACACACATCATTTTCTAGGAGCCGTTCACCGCGAGATGAAAAACGTATTTCTCATCACTGTCATCGGGTCGCTGATTGCGTTCGCGTACGTTACTTACGCTTGCAACGAGGCCGTGTGCGCGTCGATCGTCTCCAAGTGCATGATCACACAGTCGTGCAAGTGCGACTTGGTAAACTGTTCGTGCTGCAAAGAATGTTTCAGTTGCCTCAACAATCTGTACAGTGAATGCTGCTCGTGTGTGGGTGAGTCATAGTCTTAAGTTAGGTTTAAGTATGTTGGTTCTATGTGGACTGCCTGTTGATTGTTTGTCATGATTTTTCGTTCCCTCTAAACAACATCACTATCGATGACTCAATGTTGATAACTTGCTAGTAAACTATTGTATACTGACAAGAGTCATCATCAGTTGTGTCCAATACCATCACAAGACACTGTAGTTTCTGGTTATTGTTGATAACCTAACATCTAAATACCTTTTGTTTTTAAATTTGTTCAACATTTGTATAATTAGCAGTTAAACAATAATTATAATTTAATCATAAAATAGCTGGATGATCTTACCAGATTAGTTTTATGATCAGATAGCATGAATGTAGAAGACTGAATCATAGGTACTCTTTATTTTTTTTTATTAAACTCCATAATCCAAGTATTTTACACCCTTAATGGCATTACTTTCCTTGTATTCAGTTTTGATTAAAACTATTAAGCGTTGCTTATACCTTAAGAGTTGAAGATATAAGTTGCAGGACACTGACAGTTATTGGCTTTATCAACCATATAACTTAAGACATTTCTGAACACCAAAAGGTCGGTTATATGGAACACATTCTTCTAGTACTTTATGTGATAAAAAAAATTAATTACTGAAAATACATACAATTTGACCAGTTCCTCTAATAGGTAATACAGATATATTTATACAGTACAAATACTAATCATTAATGTTCTATGATTTTAGACATGTGTCCAAAACCAAATGTTACAACTAATGAACTGAGTAGAAAAAGTCATGTTGAAGATCTATCAGATTCCGTAGTAACTTTGTTTACTGCTCTTGTTTCGGAACCAGACGTACAACAACGATGGGAATCTCTAACATACCCCATTGATTTAGACATTGAAATGTTTAAACCAGATTTTCAGAAAGAATTCAAGTTGTTGCAAAGTAAATTCTACTTAACCATCTATAAATTTAAAATAATTGCTAATGAAATTTGTAATTTAGAAAACTCTGCTCAAGATGTATCTTCTATGAAGATTACTCTGAATTGTTCTGTTGTATTCATGAATCAATGTTTATCTTGGAACAAATGTAAGGCAGCTTGTATATCAATGGGTGCTAAAAGCTATCGATGGTTTCATGATGGATGTTGCGAATGTGTTGGTGAACTGTGTTTAAATTATGGATTAAACCAGAGCCGGTAATTCATCCTGAATTTCTCATTAAAATATTTATTGCTAAAACTTTTTTTTTTTATCAGGTGTAAACACTGTCCATTAAAAGGAACTGTTATGCCAACAATAAGTGAAGCTGATTATGGTGATGAAGAAGATGACGACGAAGAAATGATACAATAAGTAATGAATTTTCATTACTAAAGTATTGTTTTTAAATTTGTATATTATATTATAATTTTGTTGTTTTTCTATATTTTTTTTTTTTTTTGACAGAACTATCATATCAATAAATTCCTACTCTGTAATTTTATAAATATTATAATTCAACTACTTAGATGAGAACGTTTACTAGCCTAAACAAATGCTCTTAGTTCATAGTAGTATAGTAGATCTGACTGTAAAATGATTGATCAATTATCTTATTTTCATTTTAGTGTAGACTATTGTATTTATATTTAGTTAATTTTGTACCTTTTAATATTTAACATTTTTATCCCATTTTATATGTTACTTTGTACAGAGTTATTACTAATCAAAAATCAATTAAGTTAAGTGTGTTTTTTTATGCAAAAGACTCATTTTTTTGGTAAATTTTCAATATTTTGAATTTGAAAATTTTATACCGTGTAGAAGTAATTATTTGCCATAATTTTGAATACGATCTTAATTTTTTTTAGTTATTATTTTTTAGTTTTTACATATGTTTTGCCATACTTATTTTTAATTAATAATTTAATATTTTAATATTTTTAAGCTAAAGTTTTTTTTTTTTGAAAATGTTTTTGTTCAAATGTGTGCAGAAGATGTCTTACAAAATTGTATTGTACAACTCTGCTCACTTAAAATTTAAATGTATAAATTAGGGAATAGTATATAGCATTAGAATTATAAAAAAATGATATGTATTTACAAAAATACAATTTATTTTTTAATTATACAAAAAAATAATACTTCTAATAGCCAATAGAAATAATGATTATTGTGCATTGAAAAAATTGCCCAATATGCTTCTATATTTATATAAGAACAATGTGTAATATTATTTTTTCTATGGATCTGAAAAGTCTATTTTAAATAGTTATGTTATTAAATTATTGATTATGATTTATGATGTTAATTGTTTAAGTGCCATCCTAATACGGATGAAGTGAGGCAGTTGTTCTCAGCTATCAGTTAATTATACTATGGTGCATATTTTAGTTAAATTTTATAGATATAGAATTGTAAATGTTAATTATGTTGTTGGCATACATGTTATATTATTATGTGCTTCTTAGTTATTGCTATGACAGTACAGGATATTCCATACATTAAATAACACGCTTTAAATTTTATATTTTTTTATTTTGTTAATTTTAATTATTGTTAAAAAACTTAACAACCTGTTCATTTTGTATACTTATGTAATACTTATACAATAATCAATGTTGGAAATATTAGGTAAAATTATTGTTTATTGATTTTGAATTGAAATTAAAATACCTTTCTTAATAAACACAGATATTTTTTTATTCTTAATTTATCTTAGAAATTATGCCATAAAAAATATTTAATAATAAATAAGGAGTAATGTAAAGTAACAACACTTTACTAAAACTTCCTATCAGCTATCCTTTAAAAAGTAAGTCAATAATTAAAAATTTAAAAAAGGGGGCAAGTAGGTTCTCTCCTGCTACACAGTAGATATCGAGTAGGTCTTTTAATTTATGTATTAAATTTGAATTCAATACTATATAATTTTATCAAAAAAACAAAAGTAAAGATATTCTGTCGGCAATCAGTTTATATCAAGTTAATTCAATTATTTCTCATGATACGTGTTATGATATTACTACTTAAGTAATTTAGTTAACTATTATAATTACAGTTTGTTGATTCAATTTTTGTATAAGATAATATATTTTTTTTAATAACTAGGTTTTGACAAAATGTTAGCTTTTTTGGTATAACTCAAAAACCAGTAACCGACATTAACCGTAGATATTTTACATTTTTACCAAATGTGTATAGTGTATACTATAAACCATGGAATACATGATCAAGTTTTAAAAATATTTTGACTGGTTTTAAGCTATTTATAAGTATGAGACATTTTTTGTTATTTTACGATTATTGTCGATAAGTAATTTTTCACTCTATCAAAAAACTGAAAATATAATAAGTACGAGGTTTCCTTATTAGTTGTTGTTAATGTTATTAAAAAAGTTGAACATAAACCTACAGTAATCTTTTATGTTAGGTATGAAGTTAGAAATTAAAATTATTTAATATTCATGAATTTTATTGAAATCGGGGAAACTCGCAAATTATTTTGTGGTTGGAAATTCATAAAAAAATGTTCTTTTAGTATTTAAGAATTGAAAATTGAATAGGTATAAGTTACTGCAGATACCTCATGAGTTTTTTCTATATGGTAAGTACAAATATTTTAATTAATATTTTTATCAGTGTTTGAAGTTAATTTGTTTTTTCATATTAGATAGGTAACCTAACCTTTTTTTCAAAGACACCGTTTTTACAAGTTTTACTTTATATAGATGCACATACAATATTTAAAAGATTATAAAATAAAAATAAAAATAATTATTCAACAACAGTTAATGTGTAGGTACTCAGTGTTAAAAACATAGCATAATATACAAATATTTCAAGTGATCTATGTACGTCAAATAATACAAATAATTACCTTATATTAGAGATTATCAAAGGTACCTTACTTTACTTACTTTTACTACAAAGGTACACACTAAAGCGTACTACACCGTACACAACAATAGTCAATAAATAGTCAATAAGGAACATTTGAATTTCTTATAATTGTTATATTGTATATAATATTATCGTAAAAATGGTACCTATAGGCAACACAAAAAAAATGTATTTTGGAGATTTAATTTTACAGAACTATCACGATATCGCAGTAAAAAACCAAATATTATTAATGTATATGTAAATTAATCATTTGTTATTAAATATTAATAATGATGGTAATTAGCAATTACACTAATAAGTGTTTAAAAAAATATTTGTTCAATAATTTGCATGTGTTTGTGAGTAATATTGTACTCCATTAGGGATTTTTTTCCGAGGATTTTTATTCCGATACCGTTTAATTGTAAATACACGTAGGTACACAATTAGTATTTTGATAAAGAATATAGATGATACCTAATCATTTATTTTTGAAATATTCATCCATGTTTATTCAACGTAACGTACCTATTAACATTTAATCTATATTTCTTCTTTTTGCAAGGTTGCAGATTAAGTCAGGGCATGTTCATTGTTTAGTGTTCACTGTACATATTTTTTTGGTAAAAAATTATCAGGATAGAATTGACTTGATTATTTCTTGGTATTATCCACAGAGTTCGCTTCAATTTCATGAGGGTAGGTCAATTACACATAATTCGACAAAAATCACTAGGAATAAAGCACTTGGTAGGTGCACCTAAAAAACGACCAGCCTATTTATCAATATTCTATGTAACTAAAACCGGTAAAATAATGATAATAATTGGTAAAAAACAAGGAGGGCTTTGATATCCAAAAAAATGAATATCAAATATTGTACTGACTAGTCCGGTCACTAGTCACAACTAAATATTACACCCTTCACACAAAATGTTGTCCTGGTAACAATGGACGCAAACATTAGACATTTGAATATCATGCAACTCGTCCAGAAACATGATTACTTAGTTGACCATATAAGATACAAGAACAGCAAATTAGAAAGTGCTTAATCAGTATAATATATTATTTTTAACTGAAAACGAATTATGTAATACAATAAGTTTAAAATGACAGGTCAGTTGAAAATCACTAGTAGGTAAAGTATTATTTATGTAGGCCGAATCTATATTTTGTCTAAATAAGTAGGTACATAATTATATGCGTTAAAACCCATAACCGTACTAAATGTATCAAACTCGCTTATAATTATATATATTATAGATAAAGGACGTTTAGGCGAGTGTACGGTTTAATACTATATTTCCTGTTGTACCCATACTGATTCATGGTTATTTTTTGCAGGGTCATCAGTCGACAATTGGGACGTATTAGACGATTTGATCACTATAGATGAAGGCAAACGAAAAGATCAAGAAAAAATGTATGCAGTACATAGTAATGGAGGGGGGTCTCGCACTCTAACGTTGTTTATGTAATAATTATGTCAGTTGTGACTTGTGGTGAGAAACTATTGCAGAGGGTTTCAAACTTACAAAAAAGCAACCCATGGACGGATTTTCTGGCTCACATATACAAAAAAATTAAATTAAAATTTTTTTTTTTTGATTTTGAATTAATTGCGGTATTTATTAATTTGTATTTAACTTTTGGATTTTTCCTCTATTTTCTTTTTACAAATATTACATTTTGATGGAACCAGAAAATTTTCAAAATTATTAATTGGTAATCCCTAATATCTATTGTCTATTATTCTTAAGTCCTAACCATCACGAATCACGATGTCTTTGAGTCCAAAATATAAACTTTATGGGGCCCCCAAATAGTTGATTTAAATATAAAATCACTTACAGACCTTAACATAATATTATATATTTATATCTATATAATCTATACACCTAGTTATACAAACTATGCATTACATTGTACATATACGTTATACAAGTACATATACTTCACTTGTACTTGGTTAGTGATCTTCATGAGCATCATTTGGTGAGGGGGGGGGCAGTTGGGAACATTTCCCCCGCCATGTATGTTTATGAACAGGTCAATATTTTTGTAACTTTATTTTTAGCTCAGCTGGAATGTGGGAGTTGGTGCAGCCCCAGATTTTAATCATAAATCGATGTTATTTTTAAGAAACATAAAGTACACCATAGCTAAGAATATTATTTAAAGCGATACTTTAACAGCTGATTGATATGTTTGTAACAATTTCGATTCATATAGATATTCCTTAAGAGCTTTATTAGGTACCTACTTATTGTTTATTTTTTGCTGTTTCATTTCATATTATTTATTAATGTGTACAAGTATACTATAATATTATTATTTTTTTATTATTTATATTTTTTTTTGTGTAGTTATTGTCTCATTTTGACATCAAATAATAATGACATTAATGAAGTTTATTGGAACAACAAAAAGATAAATAATACAAAAAATAAATACCATATAGGATACATATTGCAGCACCCCTAAAAGTAAAGCTTGTGCTGGGGAGCAAGTTCTGATTACTTTAGACTTTAAGAATACAAATAATTTGAAAAACAATCTAGGTACTGGATTTTATGTAGGTGGAGCAATTGATATAAAGATAAAGTACTTTTTACACTTTTTATTTATTTTATGAGTAATTCCATCAATTTTAAAAAATACTTTGTATAAATATTACAAGATGATTAACAAACTATTTTTGCTGACGAATCTATTAAATATTAAAGTTATTTTTTTTGTTATGTAGCTACTAACTGAACAGGCTTCCCAAAATGGGTAAGAGTTCATAAGTTATAACATTTGTGAAGTTACATTTTTGAATCTTAGCTCACATTTTGAAAAGTCATTCTTTTTGTTATAACTTGCAAATGAACTAATTGCAATATGGTTCATGTTATTGTTATAAACTTATGCCAAATGAAAATTTTGCTCCAACTTAAGAAAAACTGAAATTACGTCCCTGATCTAACTTCTAACACAAATCTCAACAACATTTAAGTATAAATAAAACATACTGTCTTGGTTTTAAAAATACTGTTGTCTTAAATAATTGGTAGTTTCCACTATCGAACACTATGGGTAGGTATTTAATATATTAGATTGATAGGTAAGCACTATGTGGTTAATTATATATTAAAAATATATATAATTTATACACTTGGGTAAAAACAAACTCTAGAAAAAAAAGGGACATAGCCACAGGTATTACTAGGTTCATAAATCCGAGAATTTAACAAAATATATTATGAATATAACATTCTGTTGCCTCGTCGAAAACGACGTCGTATATGCGTTGACTTATTCGTCTGTCCCTGGTAGGAATAATGAGGTGCGAAGACCGGCATCATCGACCACCACAAGGAAAACGACAACAGACGATTGGCTGGGACTGCGGCCGAAAAGCAACGCGGAGATGACGTCGTACGAACCATCGTCACACGGCCTTGGAGGGCAAAATGTATCGAGGCGCCATGACTTGAGGCGACAGAGCACGCAACAGCGAACGTCGGGGAACCGTTCGGCGGGCTTGTTGTTCAGCGACGACGATGACGACGACGACAACGACGGTAAGAAGAATAAGACTGCCAACCGAAACGTTTTTGACTCGTTCGCCGATGCCACGTACCATAGTACCGGTGTAAGTGCTGTACCGTTACCAACCACAACCACAGTCAATTTAGACGCCACCTCGGCCGCCGACCGAACGTGGACCGCAGTTTCCGAGCCACTGACGTTATCTAAACGCCGAGAGACGTCACCGTCTATTATCACGGTCGCCAAGAAAACCGCGGCAGTCTCAGGTACCTATATATAGCTGAAACCGATCATAATGATCATTTATGATAAAACAAATTATGGGAACTATTTTAGTTTAGCTACCATACGATTTTTTTAATTTTTTATTTTGAAACATAATATGTCCTCCAATGAGTTAAGAACAAATGTGCAAAAAAAATGGGCTAAAATGCACTTCACCAACCCCCTCACGATTTTCAATTTTTTTTTTTAACGATGGTGTCAAAATTGTTTACCGGAAACTATTTTAGAAGTTATAGCCGTTTCAAGTTTGTGGTTATATGGCAAATAGTACGTATTGCTCGTGCGCCGCTCATCACATACCACAACAGTCACCAGCGCGCGTAATTATAATATTATGAATCATATCATAAAAAATACTGTAAAATATATTTAATAATACCATGAATGTGTTACAATACTTATATCTCTTGACCATCATTTCCACTGAGTGACTAATTTTCACTTTCTAACTCCTCAATTTCCTCTACATGAACATGATCAACATTTTAGCCACAGGGGTGGTTAGTGGATGAGCCCGCATCCAAACTCGAGGTCCTCCGGAGTTTGGTGACCGAGCCGTTAGGCAAATAGATCCACTATAGTAAACTTGTGTTATTAACAGGCAAGGTTACAAAATATTCATTAGCCTTAACTTGAACATAAGTGCAAAACAACTTAATATAGCTTATTCTACTATCATAAAGATAATTTAATGTACATAATAATAATAATATACATTTAAGTAATAACGAGGTAATTATAAAATAGCGATACTAATGTAAAGATGTATACAAACGACAAATATTCATAACTTGACTATGGTTAAAATACTTCAAAACAAAAAAAAATATATCATACTCGTTGCGCGCATGCTTATAAACGTAAAATCACTAACTTTGGAAGGCTATAACTTTTAAATTAATAGTTTCTAGTAAAAAATTTTGCACCATCGTTTTAAGCATAAAAACAAGTCGTTTATAAAAAATTGAAAATCGTGAGGGGGTTTGTAAAGTGCATTTGTTCCAAAAATTGAGGAAATCATTATTTTGGAAGTTATATCCTCTCTAAGTTTGTGATTTTACGTTTTTAAGCGTGCCTACGCACAAAGAAATACTTTACTGCTGGGTGCCGCAATTATAACAAATTTTGATTTTTTTTTCGTATTTTACTAACTTAACCTGGATGACGATGAAATCAGAATTTGCAGTATAAGCGAGTAATCTTATTTTTGAATAAGTGACTTTTTTTATGTTATTTAACGGGACAAAAGCCTAATATATGTTGAATAATATGTGTGATAATAATAGGTGACCTAAGGTATAATTATAATTGAGTAACAAGTAAATCAAAGAAAAACAGTCAATAATCATATTACAATTACAATAATTAATGAGTATAATAGAAACATAAATGTAATTACTGATAATATCTATTAGTATAATTACAAAAATACTCAATAGAGTAAAAATTTCAAAAATCAATTTGGGTATCATTAGCTAGGTAATCTAGTAGATCTATTTAACATTTTAAACGAACATTTATGGTATAGTTATCGTACTGTGCAAGTGATTGTGAAAATCATAAGTAGAACTAGTTTGTCGTCGAGGGACATGAAAATTTATAAAATTAAACAATTCTGGACGATCTATATGTACCCAATGACCAATCTAAATGAGAATTTCAACAAGTATATTCCTTATAAAATAACGGGGCTGCTCATATTTAGAGTATCTAATAACGGCAAGATAATCATTATGAATGTGGTTATCGTGGAATACTACATTTGAAGGATATAAAATGAAAGAAACGATTTTGGATAGCTTCAAGGCATTGTATATGAATATTTGCAAAGGCGACCAGATAATAGAATTATACTCAATAGTGGAACAAACTAAAGAGAAATATAAATAATAACTTTTAATGTAATGGAATTAGAAAAATCCTTACATGTCCTAGTAATAAATCCAAGAATGGGCAACAATTTTTTTGAAATATTTAAGTTATTCCCATTAAAAGATGAAGTAGTATCAAACGATTCAAACGCACCACCTAAATAAACATTTTCAAACACACGATGAAATAAAATATCATTTAAATAATAGTTGGGGAGAACTGGAGCACGTGACCTAGAAAAATACATAACTTTTTATTTATCAATGTTAAGCAACAAATTATTTTATTTTCACCAGATTTATTTGGTTAGAACTACATAAATGATAAATCTAATGTATTTTGAACTAAAAGTGTTTATTTTAATCATCCTTCCTTATCCTTCATACAGCTTTATTCCATAAATAATCTTTAGTTAACCTAACCTTCGGGTACATGGGTAATCGGGTAACGTGACAAGTGAACCTAACTATAACCATAAGGCCAGCAGGGACCTAACTGGTCAAATAAAAAAAATTGTTAACTTGGGCTGTCGCCTGTCGATAGTCCTTTTAAATTATATGCACGCACCACGTATACTGAATAGGCGTAATTAGGTACTGATGTACTGTGATTTAATAAATTATACAAATAAAATTACAGTAACTCCTTAAACGATGATCAAGCTTCAAATTCTAATTTCACCATCATTCTTAAAGCAATTAATTTTTTTCACCATCTTTCTCAACTCGTAAGTCATTTACCTACATACAAATATTTCAAAAAAAAAAATTTTTAAATCTCATAGTAGTTAAGTGCAATTATACCCAATTATTGTTAGGTAGTAAACCTCGTTCATTGACCCTTCTGAAAACTATTGTTTTGTTATCCAGAAAATATGCCTTCTTGGTTGAGTGGTTTAAAACATAACACAGACGAAGCGACCACCCTGTCTATCGCTCCTCCCCCTACTACTCATCATATTTCGTCCACTGGCAAAATGGCCGATGCAAATGTTGCGCAGAAAACTGCAGAGAAAGTTGAAAACGAAATCACCGAAGAAAAATCGTCTTCGATTTTGTCGTTGCTTAGAGGAAAAGACAGTATCCAAACTTCCATGTTGGAATTGATCCGAGAGCTGGCTAAAAAAAAACAAGACATACAGCAGGCTGCAATAACATTGATGCAAGAGCAACAAAACAGCGACCTCCTAATTAAAGTAACAAGATAATTATAATTAATTAATACTTCCTACGGATTGTTTATACTGTGTACAAATATAAAATATAATATCTTATACAGGCGTTCTTAATGGATAATAGTTATTCTGTAATGAATCCCGATATTCAAGAGTTAGAGCGTCTGCGGTCTGAGAATCACAAATTTCAACTGACGAACGACCATCTTTCAAAAACACACGAATTAGAATTAGATGCTTTAAAGACTAAATATGAGTAAGACTTGTGAGATATTTGAGCTTTATACCAAAATGCTTGTTTAAAAACGTTAATTATTACTTATTTTTTTTAAAAATTATATTTAAATTGTACTGTGAATAAATTTGTGATAATAATGATATATATAGGTAACTATAGTATGCATTTATACGCAATTATTAAGTATCCAATTTTATAGTAAATTAAACATCGTATTTATACTAAGCAATTGAATTTTCATTTTTAAATTATTTGAAACTTACTTGGTTCTATATACATATAGATTACAGCAAAATGTGTTGCATGAAAAGCTAGATCGTTATGAGGAGCGTGTAAATGAGCTGATAGAAGAACGAAAATCCGATATGACGGAACGAAAAGAAAATGAAAAGCGCTTAAAAGATATGTACGAGGAGAGGTTACGCGAGATGCACGAGAGTCATTTAATAGATCTCAAGCAAACTACAGAAGTTCAAAGGATTAAAATGAACCACTTGGAGGAAGTTGAATCTTGCTTACGTGATTCAAAGCCAAAGCGTCTGACCAGCGAAGAGATGACCGCTAGAGAGATTTCAATTACCGCTCAAAACAAACAACTTAAAGGTAAAGAGGTCGTAGGTGCAGTAATATATAGGTAACTGAAGTTATAGTACAATTAATAATTAGATAGTATAAGAGTTACACTTTTATTGAGCAACCAGTCAGTCTTCCAATAAATTAAAATACATTTTGATTATTTTTTTAATTAGTTATTATTATAGTCATGGGTACATTTATAAATTCACCATCTCATATCCTCATAAATTTGGTTAAAGAAGCATTTAAGTTTATTTGTTAAAAGTATCTAATTGTTACTTGGTTGATTTTTAAATTAATTTACCTATATAATCAGTTAAATTAACTATTGTAACTAGTAAGTATTCTGTATTTGTAATAATTTAGCTTTTAATAGTTAAATTGAAATATAATACTTTAGGTTCAAATTAATAGCTCATTTAAAATGTTTAATTTTTAGTATGCTAAAGTACAAATTAATACAAAATAATGACGGAAACAACATTCAATAAAATATAAATGATATTATTCCAAGTTGAAATAGATGTAGAACATTAGTGTATAAGTATAATTATAAAGATTGAACAAAATTATTTATTTAGACATTTTAACTAAGTTGTTAAATTGGTACTCTCCATATTATACTTACTTTAAAATTTGAGCTATGTATTGCAAGATAAGTAACTATTAACTTACAACGTAGGCACTTCTTATGTTAACACCTAGATTTGACTTTAATTAACTCATTTTGATTAATACCACCTACATGTGTGATGAGTATAGATTTACAGGAAGAAGTAGATAAGCAGATGGCCACGTTGGAAGGAGAAAGATCAGCTCTTCAAATGAAAATTGAAGAGTTTCAATCAAGAAATCAACGAGAACGAAATGAACTGGAACTCTTAAATAAAGAGCTAAAACGATCTATGAAGGCATTTGAGGATGGTCGCAAGACATGGGAACGTGAAAAAAAATCAGAAACACAATATATCGAAGGTCGCAAGCAAGAGTTGGAAGTAAGTATTAAGTCATGAGACACACCATGTGGGTAGTTGGTGTGTACTACCACAGGATAAGACTATAGTTAATATTTTTCTATTTGTCCAGGATGTTCGTTCGTCAGTCATCGAAGAACAGCGCAAGTTAGCAGAAGAACGTTTTGAAGTGGCTTCGGAACGATACAGACTCGAAACCATGCTGAAATTAGATGCCGGTACGGGAACCGATTTGATACAAGCTAAAGTGGAACTGAAAGAGAACTTTAAGGAGCTAAAAAGAAAAGAAAAAGAGTTAGACAAACGATTAGAACATACAAAAGAGCTGGAAAAACGTTTAGCCGATGAAAAAAGTAGATTGCAAGAACTGGACGACCAAATTAAAATGAAATCAATTCGTGCTGAAAAAATGTTTAAGGTGAATATCTGATAAATATATATATTATGTTCTAGGAGTTTACACCCACAGCGCTGATCTCCTAATTATAAATGGTGTTCGTAAGTTTGTAAAAAACAAAATACACGTGCATTTATCGATATTTTCCAAGCATTGACAAATTCAAATATGTTATATTAAACATCGATATATCAGTTTCATAACATTATACACATTATCATTAACATACATTAATTATTTTCAAAATAGATGGCTCTTTCAAAACAAGAAGAAGGTCTGAAGGCTTTAGAGAATGCAAAAGATATTCAAAATAAATTCGATAAAAAAGGTAAAGATATTCAAAATCGACTGTTGGACGTTATAAAACGTGAAGAAAATATTGCCATGGTGAGTATTGTACTTAAAACTAGGGCTGCATAATTTAAGACACCTTATTAAATTTGTAGGAAGAAACTAAAATAGTCAAAGAAAAAGATGCGTTTAGCAAATTACGAAAAAAACTTGATCTCGTTCTACCTCAACTGTCTGGAGACGAAATGCGTTTTTTAGATCCTAAGTTAAATAAATATGAAGCTGAAAAGGAAGTATACTTCAAAAAAACTCAATTATACTAATTATAAGCTTTGTAATAAATGTTGATGTATACATAACTCATTAATGGGTATGTAATTGTATAATTTTACTGAGAAAATATGATCTATACATGATCATTTCATTACTATATCTTACTCAACTTTTCTTTTTCTATATACTTGCCTGTTACCATATATTAATATTTGATCACTAATAACTGTAAATAAGTAAAAACAAATTAATTAACCAATCACAAAATCAAAATAACTCAACAAACGTATTTATAAGATTTAGAAATTTCTGGTTACATAGCTGACTATAAATAGTTACATTTGGTTTTACTTTTAAACCTTATAGTCTATGGTTTTAATATGTTAATATGTATTATGTATTTCTAACTTTAAAGCAATGTAGAAGAGTAAAAGTAGTATTGACATAAGTAACTTGGGATTACCTCCCGTTAAAAACAGAATTAATCATATAAGTCAAATTCAACAGAACCATCACACTTTTCTATAAATGTTTTCACTTACCATTTATTTTGCATTTAAGTCATTATGGCGAAAAGGCTAAAAACATATTTCATAATTTTACAGATTATGTACATATAAGAACCCTACAGTCTACACTTAGTTTTTTAATATTTTAGCAATATCAAGTGTTATGTGATAAAAACAACAAAGATATTTATCATTATAATTTGTTTTTATATTTCTATATAAATTGTAGATAATAATTTACAAAAAAAATGTATAATAATAATAATAATAATAATAATAATAATAATAATAATGTTTTATAGTTATAATAATAATAATAATAATAATAATACGATTATAAATAAAATAAATTATAAAAATTAACGTGAAATCAATATTAAAAATGTATACGCAAATAAATCATAAGTTACGAAGTGAGGTTGAATAATTTAAACAAGTAATATTTTTAACAAGTATTAACATTAACTATTCAATATTATCTAACAATGATGAGAATATATTTTTCGAAAGCCTATTTAGTTATTTTTTTTTTTTGGAATGATTTTTAAATTGATTATTTATAAAATATAAATATTTTATACCTGGATATTAAATTTTCTATCAGAATATAGCAAAGCCCATCATTGTTTTCTTATAAAATACTGCTATAAAGGAAAGGGGTATATAATAGGTACATTACATGCCATAGCCCTGATAGGGTAAAGTATTTGAAGTTGCATATGGGGCTCCGCTTGGGGGTACATAAGGTTGCTGTGAAGGGGCAGTACCTTGATAGGACGGCGAGTACATGTTGCCCATAACCGATGGACCAGCAGTCAACATTAGTTGTGGTTCAGCTATATAAATAAAATTAATAAAATATCAAAACTGAACATTAATAAATATGTATTAATAACACTTACGTATCATCATTGGTTTGATATCTTCTTCTTTGTGTTCTTCCAAACGCTTGGATTCGGCTTCTTCTAATTTATCTACTTTGGCAACATATTCTCTAGTGACTTGAATAAGGTAAGGCATAGCGAAGTCCATGATTTTATGCCTCCATGCTAGCTCTAATACAATATCTGGGTGCACAAGATCATAACATTGAAACAAAGCGGCAGCAAAACAATCATAGTTTCCACGCTCTAAGAACCACGTAACCAATTCTTCAGCTACTTCTGAATTTTTTGATTCTGCCGCATATTCCATTGCATCCTAATACAAAAATGGAAGATTTAGTATAATTTCATTGCATGTCATAATACAGTTAACACTTAATACTAACATCAAATATTAATAATAACTACATACTTTATATAATCTGTCTTTCTTGCACAATTCAACACTCTGCTTCCACCGATTATTTCCTTTGTACAAGTAAGCAGCTATGCGTCTAAACTCCGTAAGTTCATGTTTTTCAAGTTTTTGGGCAAGTGCAATAGTATCGAAATTATCAAATGCATCAATAGACGTTCGTAGACCCTATAACAAAACAAAAATAATCAATCAAGACAAATACAAATAATGGCTAAAATAATTACTTGGTAGTCTTCCTCATCGATCAGTAAATTATTTAGTGCTTCATTAATAGCTTTATTATTTAAAGATTGCACAGAACGCAGGTAGGTTTTGACTAATTGCAAATGATTTGTCTAAAATAAAAATAAATTGTATTAAACTACAATCAATAATACATGGAGACAACCGTACCTTAGTGAAATAGGCAACACCTCTAGTGTGATCCATTCGTGGTGTCAACACCAACAATAAGTCATTGAGCAGAAGCGGTTTATAATCAAGATAAAATTGTATTGCTTTGTAATATAATTCTAAATTAGCAACCTGAAAAATAAATCAATAATTTTTAGATAAGAAACAAACACGAATACTTAAAACACAATTTCCTTTCATACCTTTGTAATTATGTCTTTAAAATGACTCTCTCGCCATGCTTCAGTTGGATGATTCATCATAGCTAATACTGCATTATCATACTCTTCATATTTATCATATAAAAATACTAACTCTGACCACAAATGTGCCTGTTCAGCCGCTCGTAACACCTTAGGGATATTAACACGAGACCAGAAGAGCTCTAAATGCTCCTTCATCTTAGCCGGCTTATATTTGGAGTATAAAATAGCCAATTCTGTAAACATTCCCATATGTGCACGTTCCAATCCCAATGCTGCTTCCAAAAGATTAATAAGTTCTTCAAAATAACCACGATCCTAAATGGACAAAATACAAAACATGTTACATATAATATCAAAACAATTGTATAAAAGTAATTATATTACTTGGTAGTAGTTTATCAAATCTTCTAATTCATCAGCATGAACAACTATGTGGAGACCACACATTTGAGCTAATCTGAACTCGTTATTATCAACACATGCAAAACACACTTCTTTCCATGTCCTTGTGCTATTTGCTTTACGGGCACTGTCGACAGCACCCTGATATTCTTTAAGATGTACAAGAGTAATAGCTAACCGTGCAAAGTTTGAAACATTGTTATACAACAGTTTAGCTGGTTCATACATTTTGTCTTCAAAACACCTATCACCAATCTGTAAAATGATAACATAATTGAATATAAATGCTATAATACAAATTAGACATCAAAAAAATAACCTTTTGAATATCAGCATGATTTGGTCCAGAAATAAATTCCTCAAGATCAGCAAGACGATTTGTTTTGGCATAAGCGTAGATCAATTCGCTTTCAATATAAGATTCACGAGCCTTCTTACGCGACATTTGCAAATAACGTACAAGATCTTCCCAACTTCCTATAATCAAGACAAAAATATATGAATGAATCATTCATATAACTTGTAAATTATTTGTGCCTAAATATTATTTAATAGTATGTAGGTATCCAACAAATACCTGTTTTGTGTGCAGTCTGAACAACATCCATGTATGCACTTGGATCATCAGCTTTAATGAACGAGTCAATAGCTTCTTTGACAAACATACTCTGCAGTTGAGATTTAGCCAATAAGCTCCAAACACCTGGTTCATTACAACGTTCAGCAAATTCATAAGCGCGATCAAGATTTTTAACATTATCAATAAGTACCTAAATAAACAAACACAAATTATTAAATTATAAGTATACTTCCAAACCAAAATTAAATTAAGATATTACTTGAATAGCAGATTGATTAACGTTAAACTTCTTAAATATTGCAAAAGCTTCTTCAAACAGTTCATTGTTAATAGCGATGGATGCAATATCAGGAGCATCATAGTTGTCCAAACGATTAATATAATCCATAACACGAGTTCGGTCTGCTTTGACAGCCGTTAAAATCAATAGATTTTGCAAGTTTCTAAATTTATAAGAAAAGAAAAATTATTGTTTAATTTGCAGTTTGAAAAAATTGATTAATAATTATATTTAATATAAATAATATATATAAATTATAAATAATTCATATTTTTACCTATGAGAGCTGAATAATGAGTTATCAAATACAATCTTTTCTAATAGTTCAATTAGTTCATTGGGTAAATCGGCAGTCATAAAAGCTTTCACAGTTACTGATATGTCTTCAGGATCTTGAGTTTCAGATAAAGCTGTTTGCACAACTTGATCAATGAGTGGACGACGATAGACATTATTTTCATTCAATACTTCCAGCCACAACTCTGGGTTACGACGTCTCACCAAATATCTAGCTTCCGATTTGAAGAGACTATTTTCATTACAAACGTTTATCAATTCCAAATCACATTTTCCTCGTTCATAAGCAACGCATGCTAAATGTGGATCACGCTTTTCACAATACTTGCCAACCACGCGACTATCATAAAACTTGTTCTCTCTACAAAAAAAAAAATGCAAAATGTTTGATTAGTAATTGTTTATTGTTACTTATAAAATTGTAAGCTGCTTACTTCAAGTATCTTTCTGGATTGTTGTTGCTGTCAATATAAATCTTAGCAAGAGCATTATGAGTTGCAGGCTCTTCACTACCATCATGAACACGTAATTCCAACCAAGATGACAATAGTTTAAGACGGTTACGTTTCTCTACTTCTTCTACCAATTCATCTGTTGAGAATTCTCCTTTCACAACTTGTATAAGATTTTTGATTATATCTTCTGAACAATCTACATCAAGGAGTCCACCGACTACAACTGGGAGACGTGATGGGTTCACTTTTTGTACATATATCTCAATATATTTTTGTAAATTATTTCTATACAAATATAATACAAGATCATGCACAAAATTGAATCGATCACACACTATGATTAATGGTAATTGATCAGTAAGCTTTGCTTCTTTTAAGAAATTCTTAACTCTTTCTGCATTATAACATGTAGATTCACGACATATCCGCTCCACTTCTTTAATTTGTCCAGTTTTGCATGCTGCCTATAAGAATACATTAACTATTTAGCAAAATGTTAACTATATTATTCATACACTAATTTTGTTTTCATATACGTTAAAAATGAAATTTAAATTTAAAAAATGATTTGATAGGCATTTCAGATTTTGAGCACATACATAAGATAAAAAAATAACAAACTGAACAAACAAACTTATTAAATTAAGGCTGCAGAAAGCAAACCATTTTTAAGGGGCCAAATTTAAGCAATTATCTTTATTCATTGTGAGTGATGTGTGATTGTGTGTGTAGTGACTGATCATAAGTGTATGTGTGTTCCTTGAACGCTTAATGTAATTATAGATCAACTATGGCTAAGATTCTTGGAAATCAGTAACATACATACGCGGTCACACATTATTCTACTTTGCGAACAAAAGTTTCAGCATGAAAATTTTAAAAAAAGGAAGAAAAAATCACCCGTACCAAAAGCGAAATTTTAATTCCTTATTTTTTTTTTTTAGGTAATGTAGGAAATGGATTTTCGATTTTTTTGATTAATGTTTAGTTAGTATAGTACCTACCAAATTAATTTTTTTACTTTTTACACTTTAATGTTAACAACAAAATAAAAATCGAAAATCCATTTCCAGCATAACCTAGGAACAATAATAAAGAATTCAAATATTTTTTCAAAATTATAATTGGACTTCTGGAAGTGTATTTTTTTTTTTTTTTTGAGCTGCTTATTGGTCTAAATACACGAAAAAGACTAGCCTTCAATAGCCTTAGTGTAGAAAATCAGTCAACTAAATGTAATAGATATTTTTATTTTCCCGAGAATGTCCCTCATATCATTCTAGGGCCAGAGCAGGAGATCCTCCCAGA